TTCTTCGCTGCGCACCCGTTCCTAGCCCCATGGGTCATCCTCTGCGCTCCCCTCCTCACTCTTTGATTGGGGCTCCTGACCTTCATGGTCTCGTCGTAGCCGAGATTCCAACCGCCCTTCTGCGCCATGACCGTCAGGCCGTTGTGCTGCCTCTCGTGCATCTCGTGCGTCACCGTCTCGTCGTTCGCCTCGCCCTGCGCCGTCTTCAGCTCGTCCTTCTTGTCCGGCGTCTTGACGGTGATCTTCCTCCTCTCAACCGGCGTGGTCGGCGAATCCTGCACCTCGTGGCCTTTCGGGCCCCTGTCAGGGTAGTCGTAGTCGTCGTCGCCGTTGCCGCTGGACTGGAACTCCACGGCCCACGACGGGATCCTCTCGGATGGCATTATCCATTCCCCGATCTTCGATCCCCGAGCGCGGGCGATGAGTGGGCGCCGAGGGCAGCGAGGGAAGGTGAACGAAGATCAGAATGAGAGGAGGATCGTCTTCGGGGGGTCGAGGACGAGGATCGAGGATGTGGCTCGAGGAACGGACGATCGAGGATCCGATAAATAAGATGATCGAGGACCGACCATCGAGAGAGACGAGGAATGACGACCGAGGACGAGAAGTGCCGATCAGCGAAGATCGGACGACCTTGTAGGATATCTGTGGATCGAGGGGGACAGCTCCAGGATCGAGGATCCGATGAACAGGAGGGCCGAATTCACCGATCCTTCTGTTCATCCGACCCTCGATCCTATAACCTCCTCGATTCTCGATTTCCCTCGATCTTCGAGCCTCGATCCTCCAATCCCCCTCCGTGCCCTTCCCACAAACGGAGGCCCCCTTGCCACCGCGTCGCACTAGAGCGTCTCGAACATGGGCCAGCACGGCCCTCATCTTCCTGGCCGCACGCTCGGCCCAGACGTCGGCGGAGTCGGCGAGGCCCCACCGCAGCTCGTTCTTGGTGGCAGCGCGCAGCAGCGCAGCCTGCGGCTTCGAGCGGCACCCAAAACAAATAAAACCTCGATCCTCCTGATTCATTCCTCCTCCTCCTCCTCCTCCACCTCCTCCTCCTCCTCTTCCTCCTCCTCCTCCTCCTCATCATCCTCCTCCTCCTCCTCCCCCCTCCTCCTCCTCCTCCTCCTCCTCCCCCCCCCTGCTCCTCCTCCCTCCACGTCCGCGCCAGCCTGGGCGCTCTTCTGCGAAACGCTGGGCGCCCCCAGCGCGCGGGTCTCGACGATCAAGGCCTTGCGGTGCAACGAGACCGCGCTGTCCTTCGCGCCCTGCAGCTTCTCGCTGTAGTCGATGGCGTCGGGCTCCACCACCAATTTCTCCCAGCACGCTGCTAAAGCATCGACGTCGTCGAAGCAAGCGCCGCGGGCCGCTGCGGACTCCTCGGCCTCCCTGGGGACGGCCGCGCGCCGACGCGGCGCTGTCGCCGCCATTGCCGCTGCCGCGGCCGGGGTCGATCCCGCGCGCGGCCGCAGCCGAAGGCGCGGAGGCCCAGTACCAGAACGAGAAAGGGGGGCGAGGAAGAGAGGGGGCAGCCGACGAATTGACAGAAGAACCTCCAGGGAACACTGGTCATGCCCAGCCCAACATCAGGGAGTGGGGCTGCGAAACCTCCTGAGGCATCCACACAATTTGCGAGCGAACTGGCAAGCTCCCACCGAAACCATGTGATTAGACGTGCGTGCGTGCGTGCGTGAGTGCGTGCGTGCGTGCGTGGGTGCGTGCGCTTATGTTGTGCGTGTGCGTGTGTGTGTGTGCGCGCGTGTGTGTATGTGTGTGTGCGTGTGCGTGTGCGTGTGCGCGTGCGTGTGCGTGTGCGTGTGCGTGCGCGTGCGCGTGCGCGCGCGTGCGTGCGCGCGTGCGTGCGTGTGTGCGTGTGTGCGTGTGTGCGTGTGCGTGCGCGTGCGCGTGCGCGTGCGCGTGCGCGTGCGCGTGCGCGTCTGTGTGCGTGTGCGTGTGCGTGTGCGTGTGCGTGTGCGTGTGCGTGCGTGTGCGTGTGCGTGTTCGTGTGCGTGTGCGTGTGCGTGTGCGCGTGCGTGTGTGCGCGTGCGCGTGCGTGTGCGTGTGCGTGTGCGTGTGCGTGTGCGTGTGCGTGTGCGTGTGCGTGTGCGTGTGAGTGTGCGTGTGCATGTGCATGTGCATGTGCGTGTGCGTGTGCGTGTGCGTGTGTGTGAGTGTGTGTGCGTGTGTGTTAGTGTGTCTGTGCGTGCGCCCTTTCGTGCGTTCGTGCGTGCATGCGTCTACAGAACACTACGAGCAACCAGCTTGTTTGGAACGCACATGGTTTCATTATGATGTGTGCTTGGATTCTGTGGTATTTGTAAGGAACGCGCAATCAACATATGCTCAAGTGGTAGAATATGCGCACATACATGCACAAAATAAGCATGGAGTCACCGACCTCAAAATAATGAGGTTCTACATAACATAAATGAAGTTCTAGGAGGACTTCAAAAACAAAGGTTTTAAGACCTCGGGGCAAGGAGGAGGCCGAGGTACTTGGCCTTGTGGGAAAATCGCAGCCCGCCCCACGACAGCGCGCGCGGGCGGTCAGCTGCTGGCGCGCGTCTTCAGGGTCTCCGAGCCGAAGCGGGAGCCAGACTGTCTTGCCGACGTTCAGGCGGAGCCCAGACAGGGCGGCGCACTCGTCGAACATGGGCCCCAGCGTAGCCGCCGCCTCGGCGCCCCCCCTGGTCACCGCGGCGAAATCGCCGGCACGCGCTCGGCGGACAGCATCGGGGAGAGCCTGGCCGAGACGCCGAAGGAGCAGATCAAGCAGCGAGGGCAAAGAGCAAAGGGGAGAGTGGGCAGCCCTGGCGAATCCGAGCTGCCACCTGGAACGCTTCGTGTTCGCCGCCCCCGATGACCAACTTGCAGCGATTGTGGAAGTAGAGCGACCTCAGATATTGATTGCAGCGGGCGTGCCGGGATCCCTGAATCCGAGAGCACATCCAGCAGGAAGTCCTGACCCACGCTCGGGAAGGCGGCGGCGAAATCAAAAAAGATCACCGCCCCGTCCTCGCAGGCGAGCGCCGTCGTCTGCATCGCTTCATCCACGTCGATTATGTTGGCCAGCATAGACCGCCCGCCCAGGAATCCTCGTTGCTCCGCTGAAATGTCTTCAGCGAGCAGCGGCGCGAGTCGGCGCCGTGCCGCGCTGGCCGAGAGCCTGTTGTCAGCGCTCGCCAAGCTCAACGGGCGAGTGTCGGACGGCGCAAACTGCGGGGTGCCGTCGTCGCTCTCGGAGCTAGGCGTCTTCGGGAGAAACGCCATGAGGCTGTCGTTGAATCCGGGGTGATCGCGCTGGATTGCCCCCTCCGCGTCGGGGCTGGATAGCTGCCCACGCACTGCGAAGGGGACGTCGACCGCGAGGGGGCCGAGGCGTTTCCAGGCCACGAAGGGCAGGCCGTCCGGGCCTGGCGCCGTGGAGGGGGCCCGCTCGAGGGCGGCTTGCACGTCGCGCGGTCGCAGCTGCCACCTCGGGTCGTCGGCCGCCGGGAGTCGCGAGCCCCCGCGCGCTGCGCGCGCGCCGCTCTTCACCGAGCCAGCGTCCGCGAAGAGACCTGCTGAGCGGCTTCGCCCTGAACACCTCGCCCCGGCGGTCGCGGAGCGGCCGGGCCACGGCAGCCGGGTCGGCGCAGACGGTGACCGCGAAGGCCATGACTGCTGGGATCGACTGGCAGCGCCCAGGAGCGAGCCTCGGTATGAGACGCCAGTTGCGGCCCCGCCGCACAGCCGCTTCCCGGGCGCCCAGCGCGTCGGAGCTCATCCGCCTGCAAGCGCCGGTCTCAGCTCTGGTGCATACGCGTTGCCCACGAGCTTGGCCAACTCGGGATGCCGCTCGATGCACGTGCTGATGCGCCCCACATGTCGGCCTTCGACTGCCCAGAGAAACTGCATGGCGAGACCAACCCTGTCCTCTGTTGACTCAGCGGGGCGCCCTGTCTGCAGCTCGCGCGAAATACTCCCAGCCACCTCGCGAATTGCATCTTTCAACAGAGACAATCTGCGAAGGGGTGCTGCTGGGGACTCGGCAGTCTCGAGAGACTCGTAGCATGCCAAAACCACCCTGTGCGCGAAATCATCATGCGGAATCGCTGCTGCCGAAATTGGGCGGGGCGCCGAGTACGCCCGGGAGCGCAATCTGGCGTCGGGGCGCTGCCCGCTGCTGCGGCGGGGAGCTGCTCTGAGCGGGGGGGCCCGTCGCGTCGGCCTCGGGGCCGCCCCCACGGGGGCGCAAGGCGCGGCTCGAACCCGCAAGGAAGTAAGTCACCACGAGGCCTCAGTGCCTCTGGGGCCCGCTGAGCCGCAGCACCGCCGCGCGACCGGGGTCGATTTCTACCCACTCTCGTTCGGGGAACTGGCTGGCGAACCGCTCCTGGAGCAGCGCGCCCGCCCCTGCCCGCGCCGCCGCGCCTTGGGGCCACCAACCCGCGCACGCTCGCGGCCCGCGCCAAGTTTCCGGAGCGCCTGGGGCACCGCGCGCCTCAGTCAGGAGCACGGCGTCGTGGGCCTGAGCGAGGTGAAAGTACTGCGTTTGTCGCCGAAGCCGCTGAGGGTCTGAGACAAATAATGCCTGAGCGTTCCATGTGGCCACGGTGAGCGATCCCCGGTACTGGCCACCCACGAACGGCGCCGCTGCTGCTGCTGCTGCTGGCGGCGGCGCGTGCTCTGGGGGAGGCAGCGCCGGCGCTGTGGCCATGGCGGCCTGGGGAGGCGAGAATCCCAGCGCTGCTCGTAATTGCGCCCTGGCGCGGAGTGAGCGCGGCACATCGTCGAGAGCCCCGCCGCGGCAATCAGCGTCACGATCTGCATCGCGAGAAAGTGGAGAAGAAGAGATAGAAGAGGAAGTGCAAGTCCTGGACTGGCGTTGCCGAGTGAGCCCAAACCCGACGAAACGGTCGAGATCTCGAAGACAAGGTCGATCAAGAACGACGTGCGTCCCAGGCGTGAGATCGCCTGAATTCCCGTGCTGCCCCCTCCTGCACCGCGGCGAGGGCCCCGACCTAGTGCCCCGCGGAGGCGGGCTGCCGGGCCCCCCGCCTCCGCCGCCCGTTCCCCGGCAGGTCCTGCGCGTCGCTCGTGACCTGCAGGGCGATGCGGCCCAGACCGACCTGGATAGTCTTTCCGTGGAGCGCCTCCCGGACGGCCGTGGCCTCCTCTTCTGAACTGAGGTGGAGGCGAAGACGCCCTGGCGGCGCCACCAGGTCCGCTGCCGCCAGCCAGCGCCCGTATCCACAGCCAGCGGGCGCATCACTGATAGCCTCCCTCAGGTAGATCCATGTCACCTGCTCAATGTGTGTCATCAGCTGGCGGTACACTCCGAGAGTGTCATACCCTGGGGATCCGCACGCCTGCACGTCCGTCATCTTGGAGACAGGGGCGGCCATCCCAATCCGGCCTCCCTTGGTCCGGCGGGCAGCGGCCAGCTCGTCCTGAGTGGCTCCAGGCAGGGCCCGCGGACGGCCACCCCGGTATGGCGGCCTCCGGATCTTGCAGCAACAGCGCCGCCATACGAGACTTCCACACGTTTGGGTCGGCACCCGTTTGCAGGAGGAGTTTTGTCCTCTTTCAGCGACACCATGTTCACGCGGAGCTCCCAAGCGTGCGGCGCCGCCGACGCCGCAGTCAGCTCGCAGATGAGCGCCGTCGCATCCGAACGCAGGCCGACGGGACCGAAGAAGGCGCTCGGCGGGAGGGAGGAGCGGCGGAGGTGTCGCCACAAAAGCTCGATCTGCAGCTTCGGCGTGCCCGGGGGGAAGGTCCACTCCATGCTCATCCGTTTCGCCGCCGCCTTGGAGAGCACGCTGCGGTGAGGGGCGCTGGCGTGCACAAGCTGCAGGCTGGGGCCCGCGAGAATGCGGAGCACCTGCGGCAACGCCTCGGCTGGGAAGTCCAGCGTCTGGGCCGGCGCCGCCGCGACCTGGAACACCGGCGTGGCGCCCGGCAGGACGCTCGGCGGAAGGTGGAGGAGCTCGGGCGCTACCGTGAAGATTGCCAATCCGTGCAATTCATGTCGAGGTCCATGTGCACCTGAAGTACCAGGCTGTACGGTGTGATGTCATACTCCAGCTTCTTCACAGCTCCAACCCACCGCTCGCCAAGGACAGGGTGCCACCACAAGTCCTGGATCGCTGCGACCGTGTGACACCCTGGAAAAAGTTCCAACGGGACCAATCGTCGGAGGTACGGCGGGCCGCCGTTGGCGACCGGGCGCTCCATGTATGACTTGAGCAGCCGACCGAGGGCGGAGGAGTCCGTAGGCGCCCAAAGCACCGCCGGACGACCACCCAGCTCTGGCCAGAAGCGGTCGTCCCCCTTGGCAACCAACGCCGCCGCGCGACGACACGCGTCGACCGCACGCGTGCCTGGGTGCGCGGCTGCCGCGGCCTCGGTGGAGAGCTTGAGCGTGGACCAGTGCGGGGGCACAAGCTCCGCTGCCGTCGGCGCCGTGGCGCAGAGGAGGCCCAACGCAGAGGCGCCCAGCTCCCGCCATACAGGGAGGTCGGGCGCGCGCTGCCAGCGGCGCACCTTCATGATCTCGGGGATGAGGTCGGTGCACTGGCGCACTCCATCGGCGAGCGCCTGCAGCGCAGCTGCCGCCTGCGAGCGGTCAGCCGCGCTCCACGCTGGGGATTGCGAGGCTGAGCATAGGAGCCGGGCAGTGCGGAAGCGCGCATCCAGGATGGCAGCGTCGGCTCTGGACCCTCGAGGGGGGCGAAACCGAGCCAGCGCCATGGGCATGCGGCCTCGGGCAGGTACGCCAAGTGCAGCAGCAGCTCGTGCAGCGAGGTCCATGGCGCGATTCGGCTGCTGGTGATCATCAGGTTCGGCCCTGCCGTGGTGGCACGCACTGCGCTGACGAGCTCGCTGTACTTGCTGACGGACTCCTCGACCAACTCTTGCAGGAGGTCAGCTGGAAGCTCCGCTGGCGTTGGGGTCGTAGCAGGGGGCTGGTTGGGCGCCGTACCGGCGGGGAGAGCTCCAGCAGCGGCTGGGGCGGATCAAGTCCTGGTGGAGCGGGGGCTCCAGCCAGCTGCAGAGCGCCAGTAGCCTGGGTGAGGCCTGACTCCCCCGCGGCGTCGTCGACACTCATGTTCTGCGCCATGGCTGTGCTCGCGAGGGAAGGAACCGGAAAATCCTCGGTTTACCCGCCGACGCAAGCACGGGACCAGTTTTCCGAGCACGTCCAGCCGCGGTTGCGAGGGGGGGGAAGCGAGTTTGGCTTGAGCCAATCTCATTTGAGCCAATTTATTAGGGCACTTTCTGTGGATTGGAGCTTAGGGGGTCCGGTTGATTCAGGCGCCCCATCGAAGAGGGGGGTCCGGAATATGAGGTCGCATTTGGGGGGTCCAGTTTTTGTTGGGGGGTCGATTAATAAGGGATCTGGAGTACACTGGCCATGGAACTCTCGACTCGCGAACCCAGCAGTCGCGATATCTATCAAGACGCTAGGTCTGAGCAGCCCTATGCCTCAAAGTCGACCCCCCGCGACCACATGAACTCCAGCACCTCTCCACCGCGTCCTGGGGTCCACCGGATCGGACGGGCCTCGCTTCTGACTTCACACTGCTCGCGTGAGACCATTCAATGGCCTCTTCTCTGGCCTGCGTGATAATAACCATCGCCACAAGATGTTGCGCGGAGTGGGCGATAGCAGGAGCTGGCGCATCTCCAGGGATACGGACCATCCTCATCTGGGCGACGATCAAAAACTGGTCTTACGCGAGATGGCATGGCGACCTTACGCGGCGGCTTGCGCAGGTCGCCAGCGCGGCACGCTGCAGTGGAAACGAAAGCGCCCACGCACGCGTTACCTTACGCGAGCAGCTTACGCGCCCATGTCGGCGTACACGACCCCGTGTCGCTCATCTTTAAAAGAAAGACAAACGCCATAAACATAAACTTTTGGCGCTCCCTGGGGATTCTTGGATCCGTGCTGGACCCCCCTCTCTGGCGCGCGGAGCGCGCCAGGGGGCGGCGCTGGAGGCGCCGCCGGGGGGGGGGCCAGGCGCGGATCCAGGAAATCCGCGTGGGGCGCCAAAAGTTATGTTTATGTGGTCTCTCTTCTTCGAATTCTCGGCGTGGCTCTCATCTTATCCTGCTCGCGCCTCCTTCGAGCCGACTGGCGGCCTCCCACGGCCACGGTGACACCCGTGGGTGGCGGGCGCGCTGGCTGGCGACCCCACCTCGGCACTCGCGGCGAGCAGAGCGCCATCAGCGCAGGGCCAGCTGGACAGTCGAGAGGACCGCTGAGCAAATCTGCAGACATTAGTCGGACGTTGGCAGACCTGGGTTTAGTGGGACCTGATTTAGTGATGTGTACTGGGGGACGCTCACCCCGCCCCACTCCACTAACCGGTACTGCCATCACCCGAGAAAAAACACCAGCTACGGCAAACGTGGTTTAGTGATACTGGCCAATTTAGGGGTTCTGGGGCCCTATACCACTAACCGGGTCCCCTTGCCTGGGGTCTCGGCTATACCCGAATTAGAGGAAGAAGAAGAAGAAAGAAAAAGCGAAAACTCTATAAACATGAACTTGTGGCGCTCCGCTCGGATTCTGCGCCAGACCCCCCTCCCTGGGGCGCGGAGCGCGCCAGGGGCGGCGCCCGAGGCGCCGCCGGGGGGGGCCCAAGCGCCGATCCAAGAAATCCGCGCGGAGCGCCACAAGTTCTTCGAGTGCAATCGTCGCTCCACTGGGCGACTCCGTCTCCTCAGGCCATGCGACGCCGGCATTCGGATGGCCCCGGGGCGCCTGGCCGGCCCCGAAGCCCCCAGAAACGACGAACGACTGGCCGCCCCGATTCTTTCGAGCCGCCTCACGTCTGTCGTCGTCAACTTCGTCGTCGCCAACTTCGTCATCGCCAACTTCGTCGTCGCCAGCTTCGTCGTGTTCGTCGTCGTCAACTTCGTCGTCAACGTCGCCGTCGCCGTCAACTTTGTCGTCGTCAACGTCGTCGTCGCCAAGCTTCGTCGTCGTTGTGGCCGTCGTCCACGTCGTCAATTTCGTCGTCCTGGCCCTCTGCCAGCCGACAGGACACGATCTCAGCAAAGAGCAGCGAGCCTCCGCGGGCGCTGCCGGTTCGGCCGCGGCCGCGGGACGCGCCGCGTCCTGCTGGAGGCGGCCCACCCCGCCCCCGCTGGGCGACTGGCAACCCAAGGTCCGAGCCTGCGGGTAACAGCCACCGGCGCGGGCCCCCTTGACCACCAGCTCGCAGACAGCCTGCCCTTGTCTGACTGTTACGCTGGTAAAGTTGGAGGGGGGTGGTGAGCGATGTCTTATTCGGCGTTTTGACATTGGGCGGCAGGGAGGGAGGGGGAGGGCAACTGTTTGCAAGAGTGCTGCCTCTGGGGGAGACTCCACCAGCTCGAAACATGCGCCAAAAAACAGCCAAAATCTACTCCATAGAGGGGGGGGGGCGAGGGCCCGCGCTGATCGGCAAAACAACGAATAAACAAACGATCACGTGGGGCCCCGGTTAGCGGCAGTGCTTGGGCGGGGTGGCGCACGTCGGGGTGGGGATGCGCTGCGATGGCCACAGTATGCGCGCGAGCACCAGCACGTTGGGGGGGGGTCAGGCCCCCCCCTCCCCCCCGATATCGGGGGCGTCCACGAGGGGGGGGTCCAAGAGGGAGATGTGCAAACCACGGCCCGAAGCATGTGCGCGGCCCAGGGGGCGGCCGGGGACATGTTGAAATGAGAACATGCGCCATGAAATCTGGGGAGATCTCGTGGCCCCCGCAATGATTTCCCCCACCTAGTCATCACCCCCTTCTTGTATAAGCAAGAAAAAATACATAAACATCAAGTGTTGGCGCTCTGCGCGGAGTTCTCGGATTCGCGCTGCAACCCCCTCCCTGGCGCGCGGAGCGCGCCAGGGGCGGCGCCGGAAGCGCCGCTGGGGGGCCCAGGCGCGGATCTAGGAAATCCGCGCGGGGCGCAAAAAGTTTATGATTTTGTTTTTTTTCTTCGATCATGGCCGCCCCCGACTATGCGTGTGGCCTTCATTCCTGGCCGAAGAAAGTCCGCACGAGATTCACCTCGAAATCTGGAACGAAATTTTCCAGGACACCCCAGGCACGTATGTCGTTTTCCGAATGAGATCAGCTCTGCGATGCTGGCGCGATGACTCCTGGCCGCCCCCGACTATACGTGTGGCGTACGATCGTTGCCTTTTGTCCGGGCAGCGCGCCAGAGAATAAAACAGAGACACACGCGGGTGGGGACGCCGGCAGACGGAGCCCGCCTCGGGCCTGCATGCGGCGACGCCGCCCAGTGGCAAAGGAAAGGCGGCCGGCAGGCATCGCCCCGTCGCCCCCATCCAGCTGCCCCTAGGTGGACAGAAAGATACCGATACCGCTACAGTCATCGGCCTGACCTAAGGACAAAGATAAGTAAGGGAACGAGGTCCCTTTGTTCCTTGAGCTTAACCTCGATTTCCGATCGAGAACCGAAGGTAAAACTAAGGCAAACAGTAGCACAATCAAGGAACACCGAGCCCCTCCACAGCGAAAAAGGTTCCTTCTTCTGTGCCCCGACTGTACTCTTGGGGGTCCCGAAGCCGTGCGGTGACAGACCCGGCGGTGACCTCGAAACCCGCAAAGACCTCACCGCAGGGTCCGCTGCCACACGGCCTTGGGACCCTGGAGGCCCCAGTCGCCCGAGACATCCTCGGAGAACGACCCAAGTCCTCCTGTAGAGGGACAAGCCCGATGTTTAAGTCTAAGCTCCAGGCATCGGCGGCAGGCCGGGCGCAGCCTGCCTGCTCCTCCTACAGACTCCAGGCAAATCGCCGCACGGCCACGCTCCTCGGCCACCGCTTGGCTGGCGACAGCTGGAAGACCGGCTGTGGGAGGCCCTTGGAGGGTAACTATAGGGCAGAACATCCACCCTGATAATAGCCAGCCCGACACGCGAAGCCGTTTAGCAAACGCACCCAAAGAAGGAATCAAACAGGGCAGGGCTGTTTAGTAAACGCCCAGGGCCGTTTAGTAGACGCCACTTGTCCGGTCCAGGTGTTTTCCACCCTTGAATAACAGAGCCCTCTGGGGGGGCCCAATCAGGTCGAGATGCTCGAGCCCGAAGACAAACCAGCGGAATAAGCTGAGGCAGCCAGAGCCCCTTCGCCCAAGGCGCTCCTCAGCTCATCAGCGTTCCGACTGCACCTATCATTATGCCCTGTGCCTCTCCACCCCAATCCCCCTTATCTCCCGAACACCGGCCTGTCGTCCTCATTAGCTCTGGTCGCCCCTCCTCCTCCTCCTCATCCTCCTCCTCCTCCTCCTCCTCCTCCTCCTCCCCTTTGCCACCTCTTCCTCCCCTCGCCGTCGTCGCCGTCCTCGCCGCCGCAGCCGCAGCCGCCCTCGCCGACGCCGCCCTCGCCGCCGCCGCAGCCGCCGCGGCCGGGTCCTGCGCCTGGCGCGACCTCGCCGCCTCGCTCGCCGCGGGGAGGCCAGCCGCGCGCGATGGGCCCGCGGGCGCCGCCTCCAGCGCGGGCCTCGCGCGCGGGCGGGGGGGGGAGGAGGAGGAGGAGGGAGGAGGAGAGGAGGAGGAGGAGGAGGAGGGAGGGAGGAGGAGGAGGGGAAGGAGGAGGAGCAGGAGGAGGAGGAGGAAGATCGGCCCGCCGAGGGAGCGCGGTCGTGGCAATGACACGCCGCGGCCCTTACGAGCAGGCTGCTCAAGAGCAGCGACATGACTCGGAGGTTCCGCGGGGATTCCAATTTCTGGTGGATGATGTAAGATCCTGCAGGGTTCTTTTGGGGGTCTGAATGGTTCGACGGGTTCTAGACGGTTCTGGAGGTCCCGGAGACACACCTGAAAATAATCAGCAATGTGTTACTCCTGCTCCCCCTCCTCTCGCATGTCATCCTCCTGCGCCTCCGCCTCCGCCTCCTCCTCCTCCTCCTCATCATCATCATCATCATCCTCCTACTCAGTCTCCTCCTCCTCCTCCTCCTCCTCCTCCTCATCCCCCTCTTCCTTCTTCTCCTCCTCCTCTCCCCTCCCTCTCACCTCTCTTCCCCATCCTCCTCGCCACCCTCCTCCGCCGGTCCTCGTCCTCCGCTGCCTCCTCCTCCTCCTCCTCCTCCTCCTCCTCCTCCTCC